GGAAACCAAACTGGAACTTGTCAGATATTCTTGTCAGCTGGCTGGCGAGCCTGAAGAGCAATGGTTTCCTCAAGAATTTCAGAAATGAAGGGAAGTTTGAACATGCACTATAATTATTTAAAACAGCTGTATCTGTGAGAGGGAAGACACTAGCTGTCTTGAAGCAGTCATTTAATGCACCTGGATAAAAGAGACAGATGAGAAACTATGTCCAGGAGATCTGTCATGGAGATCAGAGAAAACTCAGATGCCAGAACAAAGTGAATGATGTGGTCAGGTTGATATGATAAAGTCTTGAATTTTGATCTGAAAGAATTGAGCTTGCCAGCAAAGATATTTAGAACTTTTTTTTTTTTTTTTACAGCCGTCAGTAGAAAAGATTCTATAAGTTGATCGGCTGTGGGTCAAAACATAGACTAGAACTTCTTCTAAATAGAAGGTTTGTGGTCTGAACCACCCTTACTTCAGCCTCGAGTCTGTTAGAAAGCTACTGAACAATACATTTCCCCTAATGTAGATAAAGCATCATATTCACACATTCAAAGAGCGCTCTATACAACCCATCTGTCTCATACCTGTGGCCAATCATCATAAACTAATGTGTCCATCTTTGGTCTGTGGGAGTCTGTAATATTTTGGCACACTGAGAATTAAATTCTGTAAATATTTGATGATGCATCAGTGGATCCTTCACTTGTTGCTCCGTTGAGCTGGGGTTAAGAGTTGTACTCAGATTCACATCATTATAAGAGAATCTAGTTCCATAGAGAAATAAAACACTGTAAATCAGTAAATACTGTCTGTCTGCAAAATTTTCAAAGCTTTCATCCTCACTTCCTAAGAGCCGCAATCAGAAGGCTATCAAAAAAGCAAAAAGGCTTTTTTTTTTCCATTTAATGTCATGTCATACACACTGTAGTCTTACACTAGAGTAGTCCAGTCCTTGTATCTGACCATTTTCTAATATATTTCTAACTCTGGGGATGGACCAGTGGACCAGTGTTGTGTCGACACACAGCAGGCAACTTGGAGCCACTTGTAAATTGTACATTTAGGCTCTTTGTCACTAGCAGCCTGTTGCAAAGATGCATAAATTGTTCGCATTTCTTTAGCTGATTCCATGAGAAATACCAAAGATAACACAGTTTGAGAGCCGTAAAATTATATCTTTGACCAATTAAGTGATTCCCAAAGAGCTATTAACTGAAAACTCCGTTATATCCATATCTCACCATGGTGTGCAGTTTTCTTAAAAGAAATGAGAAAACTGGACAAATGGAGGACAAATGAAAAAGTGGCAGGCCTAAAATAATAACGATCTAAAGCTAATTGACAGTATCTGAACCTTATGTCCTTAAGAAACAAGACAGAAGCCTGACACAGCACCTGACTGATGCATCTGAGGAGTGAAACGGTGAGTTATCAGCACATTAGCATTCACGAGTAGTGACATACAGAGGCATTTAGAGCAAACTGCAACCCTGAGCACAGGATGAATGAGTGGCGTTACAGGAGAAAGTCATTTCAAACCTGTACTGTTTCCTGGTGTCGTATCGCCCTGCGTTCGTCTCTCGTATTTTAGTGGCCAGAACTCGCACGATGTTCACAAACAAAATAAAGTTGAGCTGGAACAGAAGAAAAGCAAAGACTCTTCATATATTGACATGCTGAAACTGTATCATATACATAAAATAAATGAAACCTTTTACAGTGGTGATTAATTCTGATCAGGACACAAAGACTTGACAGCAGTGTGGGCTGGACGTGCAGAACGTTAGCCAGAATCACGATTCGATTCACTGTCTTTCGGTACACTGCACGAGTGTGTTTCTAATAATCCTTTTTCACCTGTACACTTGTTACAGAACTTGATTTTGTATATCATAAGGTAAGTACGGTGTGGAAGCAGGTCTATTAATCATAGCAAAATACCTTTAGAGGCTTACTAAGTTCTCCTTTGGAACTTTTGTCATTTCCTCTACAAGACTTTAATGAGACTTGAGCAAAGTAATTTAAAACATGCAAATTGAGGCTTATGATTTATGCCACCAATGATGTAATACTTTCAGTCTGATACTATGCGCCACCTGAATGAGCCTGAATAAGCTTTAGAATCCATATAAAACACTTTGAGACCAGCAGCGCTGCACACGTAGACATAATCCAGACATTAAACAGTGAGTCAAAGCACTTTACTTAAACCCACACCTCCTGTGAGTTCATACATTGTACACAGTGTTTGTGTTCACTCTTTATCTTCTGCATATTTCCTTTTTAGTAACATAAACACATTACACAGACAAAAACTGATACAAATGTGACTGTGCTAATTGTAGTTGTTGTATGTGCCAAGGTTTAACCCAGAAAATGAGACCATGTGATGAATTTCAACTCTAAAACAACAAACAGCTATATTATCACATTTCCAGAAATACTGCTTATTGACTGTGCTGACTATGAATGCTATCATCTGTGCACTATAAGCAATGAAAAACACTGAGATGAGATGTCGCTTCTCTTTGTGCTGGGTGTCTTTTTACACCAACTGTATGCAATCTACTAGAATTGCCTGTGTGGGTCTGTAAGCATACTCGTTTACTAATAAACTTACCAAAAAACATAAAAAAATAATGTTGTATATCAATTATGTGTCCAACATTTTCAGTAAATAATTAGCTGACTGTATCATTGCAAGCTGTGTAAATATGAGGCTGCATTTTAACAGCACAGCAGTCCTGCAGACATTAGACTCATTTTCTGTTCTGCCAGTTCAGATATGAATGTTTGTGTTTAGCAGCTCATTAAACAGAGGAATTAAGAAATTAAATTAATTAATTTTGTTGTAACCAGAAAAAAAGCATAGTTGAAATTAGAGACTATTTTGTTATGCAGTCGTAGTGTTCAAAAGTAACCCAGTGTCGAACAAGCACAGATCTGTAAAATTTTGTAACTATAGTTTCCACTGACATAACCAGCAGGTACTATAATAATAAAATCAGTGTGCAGACAGAAAGACAACTCAAAATCCCCAAAGTACCAAACAATGTTGGCTTAGCTGTTAGTAACAATCAGACTTTTACCATTTTACCATTAATCACTTAACAATGTAGCAACATTGTAAACATGTTGCTCAATTCTGTAAACACACAATGGACATTTCATTAGGTACACCTGTGCAGCCAACTGCTAACACAAACATCCAATCACATGGAAGCTGGCAACAGTGATTCAAAAAAACAATCATTACAACCAGTTTGCAGAAGAGCATCTTTGAACCTTGAAGCAGATGGTCTGCAGCAGCAGAAGACCACACCAGGTGTCAGCTGAGAACAAGAAACTGAAGCTACAGTTCATGCGGCTCACCCTAAGTGGACAACAGAAGATTGGACAAACACTTCCGGGTCTGATGAGTTTTTGTTCCTGCTGTGTCATTCAGAAGGCAGTGTCAGAACGTGAAAGCATAGATTTACCCTGCTCTGCATCAGCCATTCAGGCTGCAGGTGGCCTGTCGTGTCAATATGGACCTGAATATTCTGAGGATTGTTTCCAGCACTTTGCTGAATCTGTGCCACAAAGAATTAGGGAAAGAAAAGTTGGTCCAACCTGGTGTTAGAGTCCAATAAATGTACACACATTAAGTCTTCATTCAGGAATTTTCTATAACCAGCAGTGAATTCGTCCTGATGAAACAACGCTGCCTCTGATTAGAGTCTGTAGGTGATTTTACCAGTGGCAGCCTGGTGTAAACTCACAGCACGCACAGACAGACACACAACTCGGAAGATATCTTTGAACAAACGTGCAGTTTTAAGTAGCTTGTTCATTAATTCCGAGGTTTTGCATAAGTGCCACTCACAGAAAAACACTGCATGAATAGACTCACTCTTCATTTTGTTAAATTGTGATGTTAAAGCAAGTTTGATATTAAAAGCCCTCAGTCCATAGAGGAGTGATATTCCACAAAATTGATATTCAATCAGTTTTTTATTGGAGAACTATAATCCAGAAATAATTATAGTTCTGTATTGAATACAGGGTGCCTGTATTACCTGCACATATTTTGCACGCTTATGTGAAACATGGAGCACGACATCATTACCAGTGTGAGACGGGGAAAGTTGGAGCCTTTTTAACGATTTGTAGACGTTGGCCTTCTCAGTGCCTTTATAGAAGTATCACAGCTCTGATTATCTATGCAGGTTTTTCTTTTTAGAAACACGGAGAGTTCATTAAAACATTCCTGAGGTTATTTTCTCATGGGGTTAATTGTGCTCAGATGTATCTGCCTGAGATTCTTATGCCCTGAGAAATTCATGCGCACACACACACACACACACACCTACGTGCGCGTGTGCGGCATAATTTTATCTCCTGTGGAATCTATTATTTGTACATCAGCGGTATCATCTTTGAAAGAAGTTTCCTACTCAGTGATCTAAATTTGTTGGGATGGTCTGCCCGTTCTCATCAGTGCATCGGTTATAAAAATGACCCAACGTTTCTTTTTCTCTCTACAGCATTTTAAAGGACACCAAGACCACCTGTTCTTCATCTGAACAAACAGTCTGTAGAGCAGTCAGTTTCACGCACGAGTATTTAAAGGAACAAACACAACCTGATTTCACTGGATTGTAGGATGAGCATGTAACAAATGTGGAGCTGTTCTCATCTAGTGATTTATTCATTTATCAGTGACCAAAATATTTCATTATTTTAATTTAGCATTTTAGGCCCTAGTAAGGTCTTTAGTGTACAGTGTAAACTAGCTCGCTGCACGCTGGCCTTACATGTAACCCCAGAAAACCTTCTCACTGCAGTGTTTTGAGCTTTTCATAGTCTTATATCACAATCATAACCCACCACATGTAAAAATAATGAAAAGGGGATTGTGTTACTTTGATGTCCAAATATAGAAACTATTTGTCACAGTTGTGGGTCTGTGGCCCAGTGTGTTGAGTAGTTTATTATTTATTTGTTGCATTATTGCTGTCTGTGTTTTGGTTTTGGTCCCCTTGCCCCTCATGTTACTCTGTACTCCCTCTGTTTCTGTGTCATCCCTGCCTGTGTGTTCCCTCTGTTCTAGGTTAGTCAGGTCTCTGCATCTGTGCCTTTGCATGTGTGTTGAGTTTCTTATGTCAGTGTATTCAGTTTGCGTCCTCCCTGTCTTGTCATGTCAATTAGCTTCAGCCACGTCTCCCTCCTGTGTGCAGTTTCCTCATTTCCCTATGTGTATTTATAGTTTTCAGTTTTCAGTTTTATTTGTCATATGCAAGTTAGCACAGGGTCAACATTGCAATGAAATGTGTTTGACGAGCAGCAGTCACTGAGCAGCATGATACAGTAGGAGAAAATAATAAAATATAATAAAATAAAATAAAAAAATAGAAAAATAGTAAGAAGCAAAATATTAGAGAGACATGGTAAAAGAGAAAAGATGACTAAATATATATGTATCTATAAATATAAATATATGTACACTAGTGATTAAATAAGAAAATCTTGAAAAGAAATGACGGGAGGGCAGATGGGATATTGCACAGGAATGAGCAGCAGAAAATCACAGTATTGCACTTTTAAATATAAATATCAATAACAATAAAGTGAAGTGACCAGTGCAGATTAAACAGAGTACTTGTGAAGCTGCAAGGTAGCTTCTGAGTGCTGTGTTGTGTGTGTTTAAGTGTGTGTTCTCTTGTACTCGTCACTGGTCCGTCTGTGTTACCTCCCTGTTATTCTGTGTCTCACCCTAGCATTATTCTGAACATCATCCCGCGAGTCATGCTTTCAGGTTTGTTTAGTTAGTTCTTCCCAGCTTCCCATTTCTGTTCCTGTTCTCGCCACCTCCGTGTCACTCTGTATTTTCACCCCATGTCAATAAAGATCACTCTTCTCATCTAAGTCATTGCCTGCATCTTTGGGTCCTTCTCTTACTCCACACGGCTTGTCTTGCTAGCCATGATACTATTACAGAAGTTCAGAATTACACAAAAGGGGATTGATGCAAGGAACATCTAAAACCTTTAGTTAAGCTTTGTATTTAACCTTTATCCAGGAAACAGATGTAGCTGTCCATTTGTTTTGACTTCTTTTGAAATTGCTCAGTAGATGCACATTTACACAGGCTGGTTATGGCGTGCTGGCACAGATGCGCTCAATCAGACGGAACAACTTTCACATTCGTTCCGGGCTGTGTTTGTTTCAGTTGAACTCATATCTTTCCACAGTTTTCATTACTGGTAATGTGCTGAGTGGGGCTCAGCTGAAACACAAGAGCTAGCTCACTGTAATCTACTAGAAAAACAAAAAAATCTGCTTTTGGAATGACCTACAGCATAGAGACAGTCTGGAATAACAAGTTTAAACTCCTTCACCTCTATCCATTACATCCAAACAGTACCCACTGTTAGGGTAATCACATGACACACGCTATTCCTCTTACAGATAATTCTTTTGGGAGAGAGAGAAGAAATAATAATTGCTATTTCTTACCAAGGAGGACAAAGACGACTCAACCTATTGACCAGAAGCACAGTGAGCCAGCTCTCAAGTCTACTTTTAGCACCCTCGACTTTTCTTTTGAGATAACAGGAATACACCGAGATCTTGTACTGTCTCCCAAATTAGA